TATTCTTCCTTCTTAAGTCCCTGGCACTTCCCTCCTGCCCAATGCCCAGGCTGAGCATGCTCCTTAGCTGAGAAAATGCCTTTAGGTAGAAAGATTCCAGAAGCCTTAAAGATGTATAGAAACTGTCTGCAGGTGACTTCTTGGGTAGACAGAGGAGGTATGAGCAGGAAACCACAGTGACAGCCTCAGTCACCATTCTCTTGATACTATGTCCACCTCAGCTGGGCAACCAGTCATTCTTCTTGTCTGTGGTCTCCACTTCCCTCATGCTGCAATCCATCTTTTCCATCTCTCTCTCTTTTCTGATGAACTCAGCGGGACAAGAAAACTACTCAGGCATTATAACATGCATTTTTATTGCCCTGAGATTATTTTGTTAATTCTAAGTGGTTTAATGATCATGTTTAACAATTATTCACTACCAGGAAATATAACATACAAAAAATCATAAGTGGTATTAATATAAGTGTGTAAAAGTCAGAAAAAACCCAGTATTTTTTTTTTAACCTAATCTGCCCCAGCCAATCTTTGGTCATCTTTACACAGAGTTGCTGTGTTAAAATCCAGCTTCAAGAATAACTCTTTCACCTGCTCTTGACCAGATCCCTCATTTTATCTACAGACATGTCAACTTAAATACCCATGACCTCAGCAGGTAAAGATGTTGCTCACTAAAACAGATGATATTTTAGAGTCAAGTTCATATTACTGTCCTCTAGTTGCAGGTTCCTAGATCAGACTTCTCTATCTTTGGAATTTAAATTTTACTATCTTGACCACAACTGTCAGTCTAACTTTCACCTCTTTACTTATCTACCTGGATTTTTGCCATCCCAATTCTTCCTGAACTTGGTAATTAAATAATCCTCAAGTCTTATTTTCCCTGTCTAGGATCTGTTCTCCTAAAAGTATTCCAGTATACCATCTAGTCCTGGCTTCCATGTCATGATGACTGCCTCATTGCACCCATATAACTATTGCTTAGTAATTCAAACAAGTATTTACTGAGTACCTACTATGTGCCATACATTGTTGTGGAGCTGAAACATAGCAATGAATAACAGATCAACTTCTAGCTCTCAAAGAACTTAAATTATCGTGGGATGGTTGGTCAGGTCAAATGCCCTGTTTAAACATGTATATACCATTTAACACTGGAGAAAGCAACTAAAAAACAATTTGCAAGACTTGAAATGCAAGCCTTCTGGATAAAGTATGGAAAATAGTCATTAATTTTCAGATTATTCCAAAATAACCTTTGCCAAAAATCTTTGAGAAACAAACAAAAAAATGAGAAAAATATTTGGCCTGCCTGTGGTTGATAATTTTTTAAAACCATTATCAAATACCTCAAATTGTACCACCTTAATTTTTTTTAGTTTGGAAATGGAGTGATTTGCTTATTTGTTCATCCATTTACTCATTCAACGTATATATTTTGAATGTTTGTTATGTATCAGAAGAGAAGAGGCCACTGCTTCATGGAGCTAATTTTCCAAGTAGAAGGACCCAGACTAAGTAAGTGAACAAATAATGTGTGATAGGAAATAACCTGTGTGCACTGACACAGAAAGACGGGTTGGGGTGGAGAACAATTATTCACATAAACAGAGAATGTCTCCCTGAATAGTTGAACATCAAGGAGTGAGACTCTTCAGCCATTCAAAATGCAAACATAATATAATGTGTGTAAAATATTCTCATGTGCATTAACAGCAATTATAATATCCCTGCCCTTTATTTCTCACTATCTCCCACAAAATTCACCTTTGTTCTAAAAATGTGACCAAAATTCCCAAAGTTTAAACCAAGAGAAAGTTTGAATGGATGTGAAACAAGGACTTGGAATTTAGTCGTTCCTTCAACATTAATTATACTGTACCTTTTGAGAAGCTATAATCAAGAATTGAAAGCTGCTTTTTGTCTTAGGTTCAAAATCATGAAGCAACAATTTTACACAATGAATGTAGCTTTGTAAGAAATTCTGAAACAGAATGTAATGACCTGGCTACAATTTCCTAAATGAAAGTAAGTCCAGATAAGGGATACTGCCTACATGCTCTTTTTCTAGGTTTATTTTGTTGATGCTCTTCTGGGGACATGGGAGGTTAGAGGGCAAATAGACGAAGGTACAATAATATAAGCATTCAGCACAAAAAAATTTTTTTTTTTTTTTTTTTGCGGTACGCGGGCCTCTCATTGTTGTGGCCTCTCCCGTTGCGGAGCACAGGCTCCGGACGCGCAGGCTCCGGACGCGCAGGCTCAGCAGCCATGGCTCACGGGCCTAGCCGCTCTGCGGCATGTGGGATCTTCCCGGACAGTGGCACGAACCCGTGTCCCCTGCATCGGCAGGCGGACCCTCAACCACTGCGCCACCAGGGAAGCCCAGCATAAATAAATTTTAAAGGAGCTTTTGAAAAACCAAATATGGCTTTAAAGCATGAGAACAAAAAATAATTGTTAGCCAAGACAATGTTCAAGAAAATCATTTTGTTTTTATCCACCAAAAACTAAACAAGCTATCTATTGCTATCTCTGTTGACCTTATTGATGTATATAAATGCAGATGTTGTTATTACTTGGTGTCATCTTCGTATTTTTATATTTTTTTAGTAATCCTATCCACCTGTATTTTCCAAGTATCATTTTGGTTCCTTTTCCTACTTCCTGGTGCTTAGAGGAAAACACAGGGACATAGAGACCAGAGACCATGTCTTTTTTATCTTTGTTTCATTAGCATTCATCAAAATATTTAATTCACAATAGGTCAATAGTGAGCATATAATTGAATGAATGAATAGGTCAATAGTGAACAAATAATTGAATGAATGAATGAATAAAGGAATGAATGAATAAAAAGTCAAAGGAGCATTTGACCCCCAAAGGAAATTATGTCTTGAGCAACTACTATGGGATCATTATAGACTATATATTAGTACTCAGGCACTAGGAAATATTTAATTGTAGTGGCATAAATTCAGATGAAATTACCTTGGGAAATTAAGTCATACTGAATAATTATATTTTATTTAAACAAACTGCAAAGGATGGCATTTTTCCAACAAATACTTTTATTATTTTATTCCCACTTTTTAAAAAATCTTCACTGACCTAATGTTTCAGATGAAGAAGTTAGTTTCAATAAATTTTCTTTTGTTTTTCAGTATGTATTATGAAAACCGGCAAATTTACACAGTGCCATTGATATGATCCTCTACCTTATCCCCAATTGTAATGATAATGAACATAGATTTCATTTCTTATTCAAAGAATTAATAGTTTACATATTTTTTACCAAGAATAGAGTACCCCTGATTAACTAATTTCCCTGTCTCTTTTCTTGGAAACCTAATGGTTCTAATTACCCAACTATACAATACGGATCTCACTTTGCTATAAGACCCTCAAAATTATTCTGGAAATAATCCTTAGCAAGAGAGTGCAAAACATTATGAGAAATGTCAGCCTATAGGTAAAGAAAACATCATTTTGATGTTCAGATGGCTTTTATTTATACATACACATGCACATACCACACAAGGATTATTAAGAATCTGCCCTTTTAAAAATACGCTTTAATTACTAAAGTTACATATTTTAAAACCAAATTTTTCCTTAAACTTATAAGCCTAACTTACAAATATCATGATTGTATTTAAGTGTAGCAAATTTTAGTGATCCATTTTAAGGAAGGCTTTAATTAATATGTGTTCCCATTTATAAATTTCGTTAATTTAACTTCATTAGTCACTTAAACTGAATTCATAAATATATCTTATTACCCTTTAAATACTTTTTAATTCTCTGGCTGAATAAATTTTCCCAAGTATATAAGTAATTCTTTAAAATCCAGTAGGGCTTACGTAATATTCTACTAAATGTTCTGATACTATTTATAAATTGGTGAGATTTCAATTTAAAGTCACAAATTTAAATCAATTACTCAATAGCACATTTTAAGTTGGATGTGTAAGACTGACTTACTACTCTAAAAGGTGAAAATCTGTTAAATATTTCAAGTAACTAAAGTACCAAATATGCTTAGATTTCTCAACACAAAAAACCCCATAAATAATGTATGATTTTCTTGAACATTTTTCTCCTTAACTACATATAAATTTTGCCATGGATAAAAGATGCTGTAGGGCTTCCCTGGTGGCGCATTGGTTGAGAATCTGCCTGCCAATGCAGGGGACACGGGTTCGTGCTCCGGTCTGGGAAGATCCCACATGCCACGGAGCAACTGGGCCCGTGAGCCACAACTACTGAGCCTGCGTGTCTGGAGCTTGTGCTCCACAACAAGAGAGGACGCGATGGTAAGAGGCCTGCGCACCGTGATGAAGAGTGGCCCCCACTTGCTGCAACTAGAGAAAGCCCTCGCACAGAAAACGAAGACCCAACACAGCCAAAAATAAATTAATTAATTAATAATAAAAAAAAAGATGTTGTAATAAGTTACATAATGGTCTCCAAAGATGGCCACATCCTAATCTCTGGACCCTATGAATATATTACCCTACATGGCAAAGAAACTTTTCAGGTATGATTAAATTAAGGCTTTGAGCTAGAAGATTATTCTGGATTAACCAGGTGGGCCCAATTTTATCACAAGCATCCTTAGAAGGGATAGATAAAAGTGGGAGAATCAGAGAAGGAGACGTGATTACTGAAGCAGAGGTTACAGTGATGAGATGACTGGCTTTGAACATGGAAGGGGACCACAAGTGAAGAAATGCTGGCAGCCTCTAGAGGCTGGAAAAGGTAAGGAAAGGGATTCTCCCCTGGGACTTCCAGGAGGAATTTAATCCTATCAACACTTTGCTTTTAGCCCAATGAAACTTACCTTGAACTTCTGACTTCTAAAACTATAAGATAATAAATTCGTGTTGTTTTCAGCAACTGACTCTGTAGAAACTTGTCACAGCACCAATAGTACACTGATACAGATGCTTACCCACCAAGGAAACAATTACGCTATTTCAAACAAACTGAAGGCTTACCTTCTTAGTTGTTGAGGTTGCATCATACCCAGAGAGTTGGTCTAGTATGCTGATTTCCTTCCTTTTGCTGAAAATGATGAAACATACTGAGTCCTAGTTATAGTCCATAAAAGGAGCTAAGTTATTTTTTAAGAAAACAAAAAGAAGAAGTTTTTTAGCTCATATCCCTTACTGTCACTGAACGTTGTAGCTCATCTATAACAGAGGTCTATGAAACCTGCCCGGGTTGCTACATCAATTGATTTTATATCACATTACTTCACTTATCTGATATTTAAATATCTCCCACTCTAAATCTAAAGACTATTGAATTTGATGGAATATTGTGTTTTTTTCTCCCTTCCTGTCTGATCAAATAATACAATTCCTAAAGACAATAAAATAACATCTAGTTGAATAATTCATGATTTTGTCTGATTTTATGACCACAGAATAATTAGAAATGAAGAAGGGGAAATCATACTATTTATTGATTACTTTACACTCAGAAGCTGTTCTATTGAACTTCGGGATCATTTCTACTTTTTGGTTATTGTCAATAAAGTTACTGTGAATATTTGTGTACAAGTCTTTGTGTGGATATACTTCTTCTTTTGTAACACCTAGGAGAAAAATCATAGGGTCACATAGTAAGAGTATATCTAAATTTCTAAGAAACGTCAAAACTTTTCGAAAGTTGCTGTACAATTTTACACTTCCACCAGCCACCTATGAGAGTTTTCATTGTTCTACATCCTCTCCCACACTTACCGTGGTTAGTTTTTTAACTTTATCCACTCTAGTGGATGTGCAATAGTATCTCATTATGGATTTAATTTGAATTTCTCTGAGTTCTGATGATGTTAAGCATCTCTTCAGATTATGTGTCTTCATTTACAAAGTGTCTTTTTCAAGCTTTTGCTCATTTTTAGTTAGGTTATTTGTTCTATTATTGAGTTATAAAAGCTCTTTGTATATTCTGGATACCAGTCTTTTGTCAGATATACATAGTGCAAATATTTTCTCTAACTTTTCATTTTCTCAGTGGTAACTTCTGAAGAGCAAGAGTTTTAATTTGATTAAGTCCAATTTTTAATGTTTTCCTTAACAGTATTGCTTGTTTCTCCCTAGGAAATCTTTATGTAACACAAGAGCACAATGATTTTCTTCTATTTTTTTTTTCTGGATGTTTTCTACTTTTAGCTGTTGACTTTTTGTTCATTTTGAGCTAATTTTTATATAAGGCATGAAGTAAGGGTCAAAGTCAAGGACCATAGATCTATATTTGGTGTAGGTTACAAGGAGAATATATTTGTCACAACTTACAAACTGTACAACAAAAATAAGTGCAATTTAATGTAAATTATCACTCAATACAGTTGATTCAAAAATGTGTCATACTGGGAGACCTTCAAGATGGCAGAGGAGTAAGATGTGGAGATCACCTTCCTCCCCACAAATACATCAGAAACACATCTACATGTGGAGCAACTCCTACAGAACACCTATTGAACGCTAGCAGAAGACCTCAGACCTCTGAAAAGGCAAGAAACTCCCCAAATACCCAGGTAGGGCAAAAGAAAAAAGAAAAAACAGAGACAAAAGAATAGGGATGGAACCTGCACCTCTGGGAGGAAGCTGTGAAGGAGGAAAGGTTTCCACACACTAGGAAGCCCCTTCACTGGTGGAGACGGGGGATGGCAGGGGGGAAGCTTCTGAGCAACGGAGGAGAGCGCAGAAACAGGGGTGCAGAGGGCAAAGTGGAGAGACTCCCGCAGAGAGGATCAGTGCTGAACAGCACTCACCAGCCTGAGAGGCTTGTCTGCTCGCCCACCAGGGTGGGCGGGCGGGGGCTGGGAGCTGAGGCTTGGGCTTTGGAGGTCAGATCCCAGGGAGAGGACTGGGGTTGGCTGTGTGAACACAGCCTGAAGGAGCTAGCCAGGAGGGAGTCCAGGAAAAAGTCTGGACCTGCCTAAGAGGCAAGGGACCATTGTTTTGTGGTGCGCGAGGAGAGGGGATTCAGAGCACAGCATAAACGAGCTCCAGAGATGGGCACGAGCCACGGCTTTCAGCACGGACACCAGAGACGGGCATGAGATGCTAAGGCTGCTGCTGCAGCCACCAAGAAGACTGTGTGCAAGCACAGGTCACTATCCACAACTCCCCTCCCGGGAGCCTGTGCAACCCGCCACTGCCAGGGTCCCGTGACCCACGGACAACTTCCCCGGGACCGCATGGCACGCCTCAGGCTGGTGCAACGTCACACCAGCCTCTGCCAACGCAGGCTCACCCCACATTCCGTACCCCTCCCTCCCCCTGGCCTGAGTGAGCCAGAGGCCCCTAATCAGCTGCTCTTTAACCCCATCCTGTCTGAGTGAAAAACAGACGCCCTCCGGCGACCTACACGTATCGGCGGGGCCAAATCCAAAGCTGAACCCCAGGAGCTGTGCGAACAAAGAAGAGAAAGAGAAATCTCTTCCAGCAGCCTCAGGAGCAGCAGATTAAATCTCCACAATCAACTTGATGTACCCTGCATCTGTGGAATATCTGAATACACAACGAATCATCCCAAAATTGAGGCAATAGATTTTGGGAGCACCTGTAGACTTGGGGTTTGCTGTATGCGACTGACTGGTTTCTGGTTTTATGTTTATCTTAGTTTAGTATTTAGAGTTTATTATCATTGATAGATTTGTTTATTGATTTCGTTGCTCTCTTCCTTTGTTTTTTTAATATATATATACATTTTTTTCCTTTTTCTCTTTTTGTGAGTGTGTATGTGTATGCTTCTTTGTGTGATTTTGTGTGTATAGCTTGCTTTTACCATTTATCCTAGGGTTCTGTCTGTCCTTTTTTCCCTTTATTTTAAATATAGTTTTTAGCACTTCTTATCATTGGTGGATTTGTTTTTTTGTTTGGTTGCTCTCTTCTTTCTTTCTTTCTTCTTTTTTTAATTACTTTTTAATTTATTTATTTTTAATAATTTTTATTATTTTAATAAAGCTTTATTTCTTTTTATTTTATTTATTTATTTATTTTTCTCCCTTTTCTTCTAAGCCACGTGGCTGACAGGGTCTTCGTGCTCTGGCTGGGCGTCAGGACCATGCCTCTGAGGTGGGAGAGCTGAGTTCAGGACATTAGTCCACCAGCAACCTCCCGGCTCCATGTAATATCAAATGGTTAAAGCTATCCCAGAGATGTCCTTCCCAATGCTAAGACCCAGCTCCCCTCAACAACCAGCAAGCTCCAGTGCTGGACACCCCATGCCAAACAACTAACAAGGCAGGGACACAACCCCACCCATTAGTAGAGAGGCTGCCTAAAATCATAATAAGGTCACAGACACACCAAACCACACCACCAGATGCAGTCCTGCCCACCAGAAAGACAAGATCCAGCCTCATCCACCAGAACACAGGCACTAGTCCCTTCCACCAAGAAGCCTACAAAACCCACTAGCCAGTGGGGGCGGAAACCAAAAACAACAGTAACTACAAACTTGCAGTCTGCAAAAAGGAGACCCCCCAAAAAGAAGGTAAGAAACATAAGAAGACAGAGAAACACACAGCAGATGAAGGAGCAAGGTAAACACGCACCAGACCAAACAAATGAAGAGGAAATAAGCAGTCTACCTGAAAAAGAATTCAGAGTGATGATAGTAAAGATGATCCAAAATCTTGGAAATAGAATGGAGAAAATACAAGAAACATTTTGACAAGGACCTAGAAGAACTAAAGAGCAAACAAACAATGATGAACAACACAATACATGAAATTAAAAATTCTCTACAAGGAATAAATAGCAGAATAACTGAGGCAGAAGAACGGATAAGAGACCTGGAAGATAAAATACTGGAAATAACTACTGCAGAGCAGAGTAAAAAAAAAAAGAATGAAAAGAATTGAGGACAGTTATAGAGACCTCTAGGACAACATTAAATGCACCAACATTCAAATTATAGGGGTACCAGAAGAAGACGAGAAAAAGAAAGGGACTGAGAAAATATTTGAAGTGATTATAATTGAAACTTCCCTAATATGGGAAAGGAAATAGTCAATCAACTCCAGAAAGCGTAGAGAGTCCCATACAGGATAAATCCAAGGAGAAAACACCAAGACACATATTAATCAAACTAACAAAAATAAATACAAAGAAAAAATATTAAAAGCAAAAAGGGAAAAACAACAAATAACATACAAGGGAATCCCCATAAGGTTAACAGCTGATCTTTCAGCAGAAACTCTGTAAGCCAGAAGGGAGTGGCAAGACATATTTAAAGAGATGAAAGGGAAAAACCTACAACCCAGATTACCCTACCCAGCAAGGATATCATTCAGATTCGACAGAGAAATTAAAACCTTTACAGATAAGAAAAAGCTAAGAAAATTCAGCACCACCAAACCAGCTTCACAACAAATGCTAAAGGAACTTCTCCAGGCAGGAAACACAAGAGAAGGAAAAGACCTACAATAACAAACCCAAAACAATTAAGAAAATGGTAAGAGAAATATACATATCGATAATTACCTTAAATGTAAATGGATTAAACGCTCCCACCAAAAGACAAAGACTGGCTGAATGGATACAAAAACAAGACCCATATATATGCTGTCTACAGGAGACCCACTGCAGATGTAGGGACACATACAGACTGAAAGGGAGGGGATGGAAGAAGATATTCCATGCAAATGGAAATCAAAAGAAAGCTGGAGTAGAAATTCTCATATCAAACAAAATAGACTTTAAAATAAAGACTATTACTAGAGACAAAGAACGACACTATATAGTGATCAAAGGATAAATACAAGAAGATATAACAATTGTAAATATTTATGCACTCAATCTAGGAGCACCTCAATACATAAGGCAAATACTAAGAGCCATAAAAGGGGAAATAGACAGTAACACAATCACAGTACGTGATTTTAACACCACACTTTCACCAATGGACAGATCATCCAAAATGAAAATAAATAAGGACACACAAGCTTTAAATGATACATTAAACAGGATGGACTTATTTGATATTTATAGGACATTCCATCCAAAAACAACAGAATACACTTTCTTCTCAAGTGCTCATGGAAC